ATGTCAGCGGCTAGACATGTCCATGTCCACAGGTAGACATGTCCACGTCCACAGGTAGACATGTCAGCGGCTAGACATGTCCATGTCCACAGGTAGACATGTCCACGTCCACAGGTAGACATGTCAGCGGGTAGACATTTCCATGTCAACAGGTAGACATGTCCACAGGTAGACATGTCCATATCCACAGATAGAAGTCTCCACGGGTAGACATGTCCACAGGGAGACCAATTCTCTGGTACATTTGTCCTCTGGAAGACATGTCCACCAGCTTTCATGTGTCCCATCAGACTCTGGTCCTGATGAGCGACCTGGCCACCATCCTGGACCTGCAGGGTCGTCATGACGACGCCTTGGTTCTGATCCAGCAGGCGGTGGATGTGAGCCGCTCCACAGACCATGAGGATCATCACCTGCTTCTGGGAAACCTGGCAGGAATCCTTCTGCACACAGGTGAGACATCTGAAGACAGGACTGTCCACCTGGTCTCTGCTGGTTCCAGTCTCTGGGTTCTGTCTCCACAGGGCGACTGGAGGATTCTGTTCGGTTCTACCAGGAGGCTCTGGGCCTGGCCAAGCAGGCGGGAGACCAGGCAGCCGTCCAGCAGATCCAAGAGGGACTTGAGGAGGTGAAGAAGAGGAGGGGCCAGGAGAGGAATAAGCAGGAGGAGGAGGCAGCAAAGCTACCCTGATGGTGCTGATGGTTCTACTGGTGACCCCGCCCCAATCCAGCATGTGCCCTTCTTCATGCAAACTACAGAACAAGAACCCTGGACTCAGGGGGGACTGGAGAAGAACTGTGGGGGTCCGGTTCCCTGCGGTGGGGGCCCGGGTCCCTGTGCCTCCCATTTTCTGAGCCGTTCCTGATGACAGCAGTAAACACAGTGGAGGGGGCGGAGCTTAGTTACTGCATGTTTGTTGTGTCAACAGAAATAAATCCTGATGGTTGAAGCATGTCGGCTGGTTTATTGTCTGTGATGAAGGTGAGGGGGCCGGTTCCATGGCCCCGGTGGAGAGGGATTAGAATTGTTCTGGTTCTGAAGGGTTCTCCCTCAGCTGAGCAGAACCTCATGGAGCAGCAACATTAGTTCAGAGGTTCTGAGCCAGAAGAAACTTTGGATCATTGCTCACTTTGGGCTATAAAATGAGGGACTCTAAACCTGGTGAAACGGACGAATATTGAGAGCAGATTGGATCAGGTTCTGGTTCCGTTTCATCTGCATGGACAGATGGAGAACCTCTCAGAACTTTGGAGCTTTGCTCCTATTTCTGGATGGTTCCTGGTGTCTGAAGTCCGGCCCGGTCCACAGCAGGAGCAGACGGTTCTGTGGGAAAGATGCTGCTTTCTTGAACATCAACAGGAGCTTTAGAAGCACTCAGGTGAATCCGGGTAAACATCGGAGGACACAGGCATGTTTGGGTTCAGCTGTGGGAAAGGAGATAATTACTGTTGTTCTGATGAAACGCGTACACAGACCCGCTGCTATAAAGGCTGCCGCAGTCCGTTTGGTTCTGATCCCACGGGGCCACGACGGATCGACACCCAGAGCAGGTTGGAGGACACACAGGTGAGTGACTGGGCTTCATCCCAGAGCGCCCGAGAACTCTGCTGCTGGACCACTAAGGAAGTTCTGGTTCCATAGAACAGAACCTGGTCCTGTTTGGTCCACAGCCTGTAATCTATGTAATGGGTTAGCTTCATCTGGATTATAGACAGATATAGCTGGGTATCATCAGCATAACAGTGGAAATTAATCCCATGCTGTCTAATAACTCTACCGATTGGGAGCATGTATAAAGTAAAGAGAATTGGTCCTAGCACTGATCCCTGTGGTACTCCACAGGTAACCATGACAACATTAAGGAGGATTTATTTTTAACCTGAACAAACTGACCAATCAGATTCCATCATTGCTGCAAGACGAAGGGAAACATAGATCCAATCCTGCAGGTTTGATCCACCAGAAAACCAACAATCGGAGCGAAGCTAAACCGGTTCTGGGTGGTCTGTGGCGCCCATCCACACACACACACACACACACCCACTGACATCTGGGGGAAGGCAGCGTTCTCCAGGCAGGGATGGACAACCGATGGATGGAGTTTATAGTGCTGGTAAAGAGTCTCAGTCATCCTGGTCCAAAAAGGGTAAAAATAATCTTTTTTCCACCATCTTTTCTCTAGAACTTCACGTCTGACAGGAACAGACTGAGGGATTATCATCCTTCATGATGATTTCACTTCAGAGCATGACTCCACCCCTTTTCCTCCACATTTAACCACCTGCCCTCTGCATATTAGGCCACTGATGATACAGACACTGCTACATACAGTACTTATAAAAGTTTCCATCCGCTTGGCTTTTTACCTATTTGGTTCTTTTTGGTTCAAACTCATTAAAATGTTTTTAATCTTATTTTATCTAATGGATCAGCACACAACAAACTAAAGTATCAAAACCCGCCCCTTTGGGCCCGGAGGACACTAATCAGACAGAATGGACAGAGGACAAAGGTAACCCTGAAGGAGACATGACCATAGCTCCACAGAGCAGCAAAAATAAAAGGCTTCATAGCAGAGGACTTTATGGCAGAGTGGCATAAACAGAAACCACTTCCTCAAATAACTAAAAGGCATGTGGATAACTGCCCTGGAGGAAGGAGCTCTAGTGTTGGCTGTATTATGCTGTTGGGACATTTCTCAGCAACAGTAACTGGATAACTGCTCTAAGGCTAAGAAAAGATGAATAGTGGTAAAAAAGAGGGGTAGTATGGAGCACCTGTCAGTCTGTGAACTGAAACTGGGACGGAGGTCTACCTTCCATCAGAACAAAGACCCACAGCACAGAGCTGAAGATGCACTAAGACTAAATGTGATGAAAACGACCAAGTCCTGCTGCCAGGTTTGATCATCTCATAGAGACCAGTCCAAAGAGACTGATCCAGAGAAAGATCAATAGACTGACCCAAGGACGGCAATCCATAGTGACCAATCCAAAGAGACTGATCCAAAGAGACGGATCCAAAGAGAGACTGATCCAGACTGATCCAAAGAGACTGATCCAGACTGATCCAAAGAGACTGATCAGAAGAGAGACCCATCTCATAGAGACCGGTCCAAAGAGGCCGATCCAGAGAACAATCAATAGACTGACCCAAGCACAGCAATCCACAGTGACCGATCCAAAGAGAGACTGATCCAAAGAGAGACTGATCCGAAGAGAGACTGATCCAAAGAGACTGATCCGAAGAGAGACTGATCCAAATAGACAGATCCAAAGAGAGACCAATTCATCTTTATTGTAGACATTAATGTTACTTTTGAAGGCCACAGTATGTTCTCCATTTTCTTTAATGTTTCCACAAAACTCTTCAGCAATAGTTTTCCTTATTTCCAACACAACAAGTATTTGTTGATTTTAATGGACCCATGTGTGACCCTGCAGCATAGGTTCCTACTTCCTCTACACCATGCCCATATATGGTTAGGAAGAGCATAGCCACCAAAAGTAACATGAAACTATCCTTTAGCTTTCATATATCTGACCAAATATGTTCTATTTGTTCCAGTTTAGTAGAATGTCTATGAACTGGTATTTGTTAGAAGATCTCTGAGGTGAGAAGATGAGGGCTAGAGGTGTTAGCTCCATTTTTCTGAGGGCTTGGAGGAGGGTAGAAACTTTGATCTGTGTTCTTCTCTTCAGGTTTGGTACTTCTAACCTCTGACCCTGCAGCAGTGATGGAGCTGGATCAGAACTCTGGGGTTCCTGCTGACACTCTCCAGCAGACTGCAGTGAGTCTTTGCCTGGAGGCCTGCCGGAGTTTGATGCTTGATCTGCTGGTTCTTTGTAACCTTGTTCACCTTCTGGGTGAAACAGTAGATATTCTTCAACTAAAGAATAGCAGGAGAAAGTAGCAGAGAGAGGAAAGAGGGCATCATGTCCTCCAGTAGCCTAAGCCTATAGCAGCAAAACTACAGAGATTTCAGGAGAACCTGAACTTCTCTAATGTGAGGTCAGAACCTGTTCTGGATCAAACGGCAGACTTCCTTCTGGTCACCTTAATCCAGGTTCTACCATCAGTAATAAAAATATAGCTTCTTTCTGTGCCCCAAGTCTGTCAGTGAACTGATGACATTCCTTTGGTTTCCACGAATTCATGAAGACTTTTAGATTTTTTGAATCCTTCTAAAATCGGGTTTGATCTTCCTTTCTTTAGTCCCCTCCTGGTCTACACGGCCATAGCGAGCATGAGGAGGAGGGTCTGAACCAGGAAAAACATCAGATGGCCCACCAGAAGCAGAACCCTAAAGGTAAGATGCCAGAAATGGGTTTGGGTTCCCTAGACCAGGTTTTGGAGATCTTTGAGGTTCTCCAACTTTCCTATGTTTTAGGAAAGGGAAAGCTTTGAAAGAGGGTACATTTTACCCGGAGCCGGTCTCTGATGTTCTGCAGCAGCCTTCAGCACATCTCTGAGGGTTCTAAGGGGTGCTCAGGGGTTCTTAGGCATTCTAAGGGGTTCAAAGGGATTCTGAGTGGTTATAAGGGGTTCTGAGGGGTTCTCAGTGGTTCTAAGGCGTTGTAAGGGGTTCTAAGTAGTTCTAAGTGGTTCTGATTGGTTATAAGGGATTCTGGGGGGTTCATGTGGTTCTAAGGGGTTCTAAAGTATTGTACTGGGTTCCAGTTGGTTCTGAGGAGTTATAATGTGTTCTCAGTAGTTCTAAGGGTGGTGGTGAGGACAGGGTAGAAGATCATGGGGGCGCCGCTCCCCTGCATCAAGAACATCGCACATAGGCGCTGCCTATCCTGGGCTCACCAGATCCTCTCCGACCCCACCCACCCCAACCATGGACTGTTTTCCCCCTGGCGTCCGGCAGAAGGTTCCGCAACATCTTCTGCAGAATGACCAGACTACTGAACAGTTTCTTCCCCCTG